GAAAAAAAAACCAAAACAAAAAGAAAAACCAAGAAAACCCCGTTGTAATACACGAAGGTATCTAAATGCTGGATTAACGCTTACCTCCGGTATTGATGTTAACTTTTTCAAACTGTCTCATTTATTTTGTAGCTGTATTAGAGCTTATATTACAATTTTGTGGCATCGTAGTGAAATCAGGCACTTGTCAAAATAACGAAATAATTTTTATTTTTATTTTAAAAGCCCAGACACTTTTCTGCCCGTCTGGCGGTTTGAATCGAATTTTCTTTTTTGGGGGCTCAGCACCTTTCGTGTCCTTTAAAACATAAATGTTCCGTTGTGGATTCTACTGAAAAACGTAGATCAAAGTATTAAAATGTAAATTTGCAAGTCTCCAAGGACTCCACATGAGTCAACAGTTTTGGAAAGCATCAACATTTAGCAGTCATATGTTCTTGCTATTTTTTACCTCTGTCACAGGGCGACCTCAACCTCCTCCAGTCACAAATATCTCGACTTCTATTTTGTGTTTTGTTTCAATCAAGATCATGGCAAATGAACAAGCTTTAATATGACACCAATAACTCTATATCCCAAAATATTGACGAGCACCTAATTTCACCGTATCGTGACACAATTTATGATAACGCTAGGTTTATCAGGACTGTCGATGGACGTGTGTCGCGAACAGTGCCAATGACCTGTTGCTACACTCTTTTGTGTGCCTGTCTCTGATAAAGTGAGGAGGGTGGGGAGTGGGTGTGTTTGAGTAGCTTTTTCAACACTAGTTGCTCTATTCGGAATCTGAAACTAACGTAGGCAGTTATTTCTCCTCTGGGGTGCTCATAAAATCAAATGAAAGCTTAGTTTTTGACAAGCCCATGTTTGTGCGTGAAAAAATAAGAGATTAAAATCACGGTCAAAAGATCAGTACTACTTGTACTATGACTTCTAAATATGGAAAAACCAACATTAACAGAAATGCGATTCAGGCTATTTAATCGTGTTATAAATTCCTGCACAAAGCAAAAAATTAATATATCGACTGAGAGGAGGAGGTGGGAGAAAGAAATGTTTTTAATCTTGAGTAATTGTCATCCGATGGACAACTTATACCAAGAGAAACCTTGACCTTTCAGTAGTATCAGTTTTACTGGTGGGACAGTTGAACTTGTCTTTGGAAATAATATTCAATCTTTAAAGGCGAATGTGACAATTTAAATTGTTGAGAAGTCACTGTTATCGGTACCATACTTGTGTTGTAGTCGCATGATTATTCATTACTGCCATACCTGCACGTTCAAAGATGAAAATCTTAATGTCTCTTTGACATTGTACAACAAATAATATTATTGTGAGGTTATTTCTGTACCGTTGTTCCACGATGGAGCATTGATTGTTTTTAGTTGGGGGTTTTTTCTTTCCTGTTTTTTTTTCCCTTCTATTTCGTAAATGTATAACGACTTCTATTACACAATTAAGTTCATTTAGGAGGCGAGCTGCTTTAAATCTGTCTGTCTGGACCAGTGAAGGCTGAATGGGATACACCAATCGAGGAGACCGGCGGAGATACACGACAACATCCGCATGCAGAAATCGAACTGGTGTGTCTGTGTGCATCGGTGAAGAGCATAACCACTGTACGGTACACGTCGGAGATCATTTACGGCTTTTGCGCACTTCTCTTTTGTGCGAATATCAAACCGCATTTGCTGGTGTTTACACAGTTCTGGACGCTTATTGCACAGTAACAAAGTGTCTGATGGCTCCAGAAATAATTCGATCTAACCCCGAATCCACAGTTGTTATTAAAAGTTCGAAAACAATGTCTATGACGTTTGCCGCCTGCTAGAATTCATAATTTCTGGCTCTGGATTTGTCCTGCACTGAACAATGTATGCTTATTCTAGTCGCTCGAGGCAGGGCGGACGCGCAGGAAGAGGCAAAAAGGGGGAAAAGGGAAAAGGAGAAAGGGGGTGGGGTCTCTTTTTCTTTCTATTTGCTTTCTTTTGGATTTTCCGAATTATTATTCGCCCGAGCACCAAGGGATATGGTTTTTGGCCTCATTCCATTACGAATCCACATCGAGACGGGGTCCCATGTTCTGAGCCAGAAAAGAGATATAGATTTGCTCGAGCAGTTTGAGAAGGGGAGGTTGGGTGGGGAGAAAAAAAATGAGGAAAGAAAACACAACCACAGTTGCAACAAGATGAGGGGAGGGGGGATGAATAAGAAAAAGCCGTTGCGGCCCATTTGTCTAACTTTTGTGATAAGAGGAAAAAGGGAGAGGGAAAAAAAAACCAGATAAGAAAAAAACAAAACAAGGAACAATTTGAGTAGGGGAGAGGCATGAGTTTTATTTCTATTTCCCCCTTTTCTTTCGGAGTTAGAGAATAGGGGGTGGAGGGAGAGTGGAGAAGACACATACAAGGGAGGGTGACGTCTCATGGGTAATCGAGCTAGTAATAGAGGGGAGAAAAGATTTTGGACGCCCATGTTGCGGGCAATATTGCTTTATCTTACCCACTATTGATTTTTCACTGTCGGGCCCCCTCATCCCTCTTGTTCAACTTGTGTTTTGGGCTTTACTAC